CCAGAAAGAGTAATAAGAGTAATATTAAAACTAAGTAGCTGCAGCAGTAGTAGCCATTGTTGGAAACTGGAATTGGCTGGGCCAATCTGGGATATGGTTTTTCAATTTTGTTGTCCGGGTGGAAAAACGGGAGAAAGTCGGGAGAATGGTGGCTCCGGGAGATTTTCGGGAGGGGCACTGAAGTTTGGGATTCTCCCGGAAAAATCAGGAGGGTCGGCATGTATGGCCTAGCATAGCCTGTAACGTTATTACGACGGACACATTTTATGAGTGAACTTGACTTTAAGTGACTTACAGGTTTCTTTGGAAAATACTTTCTTATATCCAGGTTCTTCCTTTGTGCTGCCGCCCTCCTCTCCTCCTCGCAGCGCAGGCTTGCCGCTGCTAAAACTAAACAGAGCTCCCTGAAAGGCTCAGCCAATCACATTGGCCATATTTGTCACATGACGTAGGACTCCAGTAGAAAACGTAATTTAACTCTTTCTGCATCGCTGGGTTAATGAGACTTTCTATCGGTTTTGTTTTTCTTTACCCGAAAAGATCAAATTATTGGTGGGGAAACTTCAATAATCGCTGGATATTGGTCCGTCCATGCCAAATCTACACCCTTGCCAAAAGCACTTTCTACTCTTCATTGGAAATACTCCATTAAAATGACTTGTTACGATGAATTATATTTTATTTGCAGCTCACACGCTCCCAGACACATGTGTTAGTGCAGACAGAGTGTGTTGGTGAAAGGGCCTCCAGGACGTTGCCAGTGTGTTAAAAGCCAGAGTTAAGGTGGTTTGCCGGGAGTTCCCGGACGCTCTGGGCCTTACCACGCTTGGAGGATTTACTGGGCAAAGAAGCTGAGCGCTGAGAGCCATCTGAGAGCAAAGGACAGTGTCAGAAACACCAACCCACGCACTGAGGCCGTGTGCTTCATCAACACATGAGCTGAAGCCCAACATCAGCAGGGCAACACATTACACTCCCTCTTGGCATGAGTGGACTCCAAACACATGAATGTTCAGCTCATTTCTTTCCGTCCTTGTTGTGATATTTTCTGTGTTTCAGTCATTGCTAGATTGGTTTAGGTAGAAACATGTCGACTTAATCTCTTAATCCAACATCCAAATACCTTAAAGTTGGGAGTATTGAGCCTACGAACTTATATTCAGCATATTAGGGGCGAACCTGCTGCAAACAGTTTAGTCAGAGTGGCGAGCTAGTCTGACGCTCTCGTTACATTTTTCTGTAGGAACCAAACTTTACAGGATGTTGGTGAAATGAGTGAAAATGAAAAAAACATCTAACGAAAACTGACAGAAAGAAAAAATCTCAACATTTGTTGGTCGTGTAAGCAGATATTTTCATGGACAAGTCCTAAAAATGACATCGTACTGTAATTATGGAGTGGATGGATATCTGCAGATGGTGTAAAGTCTTGCCTGATTTTTCTTTTTATGTCCTCAACTCTTTCAGTCTCAAAACAAATATATATGCAAAAAATAAAGCATTCCTTGGTAACGTGGACCGGTCTCATCAAAAACTGTGAAATAATGAGACTTAAAGGCCCAACTGTGCTACAGAGAGAGCGATTTATAGTCTGATCTCTGTTTGTTTAGGGAAGCAGAGGGCAAAACGTCTCTGTGCTGAATGTTCACAATCCTTCCTGATCTTTGAAAAGATGTTGACATGATTGTACCAATGCAAGTACGTCCCTCACGTGTTGGTTCGCCCTCATAATTCAAACGTACCTGAACCTCTTTGTTGTTTTTTAGAAAGAACAATCGAACACGACTTTCTGACAAAGCTAGCATGGACTGGATTTGAAAAAAGGAGACAAAAAGAAGCAGTGCACCACTGTGACTGAAGTAAAATCTAAACATCATCATTAGGGCTGGGTTTTGATGATCGATTTATCGATTAAAATCGATTCTAGCTTGGATAACGTGATATCGATTCATTAAAATCCTGAATTGATTTTTAAATAATCTCAGAATCTCAGGTTGAACCTTCCGGCGCCGCTCCAAGCTGGCAGCCAGTATCAGCAGCTCCGACCTGACCGAATCCTTTTTTCTCTTTAATATATGTTTCTCTGTTGTTTTGTGTAAAAATTGTGTATGTTTCTGTTCCGTGTCCTGTATACTGTTTGTTTGTCTTATATTTGTCTTTTTGGCTGCTGTTACAACCAAATTTCCCCTTGTGGGACAATTAAAGGATTATTCTAACCTCACAAAATGTCTACAACCACCAAACAGCTACAACAGTAAATGAGAGCAGGAACACCGATTCTGCTCAAAGACGTAAACACACAGCGCGGAC